CGACTGGGTTAAAGCTCCGTGTTTTGACTTCTCAAATCACTTTTTCCATTTCTCTTCTCTGTCTTACTTTTCCAAAAACTCCATTGTTGAGCTCCTCACTCTAGGACTCTACCTTCTCTCTAGGTATTGATCTAGTAGGAGTGATTTGCTCACCTTTGGCCTTTACAAAAGAGTTGTTGATCGTCGAGGGCTACCTTTTGATCCGAAAAGTTTGTGGTTTGGAGCACTTCCGTTTTCTTCGTCTTCTCGGTTGGGAGTTATCTTTGGAGGCAGGGATAACCTACTCCTTACTATGGGTTTTGTCTTTAAATTTTAGTAGTTTGAGATGTTGGAGTTAGTTTGGTAATTTTGTGAAAGTTTGAGACTTTTGTGAAAATTTACAAAGTTGGGGTTTTAACTATATAAAAGCCTAGATGTATGTTTGGCATGGAAAAGAGGAATTAATGTTAAAACATTAATGAAAATGGAACCTAAGAGTTGAAATGTTAATTATGGTAAATGCCCTAATTACATTGGTTAATTAATTTGTAAAATTAATTGTGAGAAATGAGGAATTGAATTGGAAATGTTGAAATTAGGAATACATGGGATTAAAGGGTGTAGTTAGATTTTATGTCACTCACCTAGTTGGAAATGTCGATTTTATATCCATTTGTTGCATTTATTTTCTGTATAGAAATAACTGCTTTGGGCTATCGGTGGAGGATAGTCTTGGTTGTTGTAGACAATGCATGATGATTAGGCAAACTAAAACTAATCACCGGAATGTGTCATTGAGTATGACGGTTGAAAGAATACATTAAATGTTATGTATTGGTTGATGATGTGTATAATTATTGTTTATATGCATTGTGTTGCGTTGGAGGAGATAGGGGATGTACTCCGTGGTTTAGGGGAAGATAGAGGATGGACCTCTAAACCGGATATTGTTGGGAGGAGATAGGGGATGAACTCCGTAGATAGAGCTCATAATGCAATACATATGCAATTTAATTCTGGATTCCTTCTAAATTACTGTTAGGCATAAATAATCATGGTTTAGGAATACTACAATTGCCCCCCAAATGTAAGGGCCATTTCCCAAAATAAGCCCAACTACTAACCAATTTTCCAAACGGAGCTTAGTTTGGCCGATATTCCCAAAATAAGCTGAAGCGTGATTTCAAATCATCTATCAATTGCTAATCTTTTGGTCATTGTTCATGGTTGGTTTAGTGTATTTCTACTGGGCTGTGGCTCACCCTATATGGGAATATCATTTTCAGGTACAGGTAGCATGCCACCTCCAAGGACGTAGCTTGGGAGGCTAGAGGCAGGCAGACTTTTGTCGTTTTATTTCTTTGATGTATTACATGTATATTCAAGCCAAGGGCTTAATGTGTAAATGAGTTAGCACTCTTTTGTTGTAACCAAGTGTTAACTTGGAAAGCTGTAAGCCCGTAGGGCATTTGCTTTTGTTGATTAACATGTAATACTTTTGTAAAGAACTACTCTGATGAATAGAAGAATGCTTATCTTTATTACCAATGCATGTCTATATTGATGGGTTTAATGTGTTATTTTGAGGGCGTTACAGGACCTTCTCCAGCAGTAGTGGCTGGCCGACCATGATCTTGTATGGCTGACCAGTTCAATATGTCGGCCAACCTTTGTACGACCGTAGTGGTTTTTCAGCAAACAAAACAGGTTTTTTGAGGTCAAATTGAGGCACAACCATAATGCATTGGATCCGGCTGGGTCTCATTGTTGGTCGGTCAAGCTTTAGAGTGTATATATAGAGAACTGTTGTTGGCAAAATAGAGCAGTAGCTGAGCAGCTTCTGAAGGATGTTCTCACTCGTGTACATGTTGTCCTTGTTTTTGTTTCTTAATAAAGATATCTGAAGTATGTTATTTGTCCAATTGCTTACTTTCATATAAGTCTTGTAAGTTGCTATACTAAATTGGGGACAAATATCTGGTATGCTATGTATTGGGCCAAAGGTCGTATGATACGAATAATGATCTGATACAAATGATCTGACACGAATGATAGTCTGATGATCTGACACGAATGATAGTCTAACACGAATAATAGTCTAATACGAATGACGATCTGATACGAATGATAATCTGACACGAATAACAGTTTGACATGAATAAATGGGTCAGAGGCTGTTTTGACAAGAATGAGTGAATGGGCCAAAGGCCGTTTTGACAAAGAATAAGTGAATGGGCCAGAGGCCGTTTTGACATGAATGGATGGGCCAGAGGCCGTTTTGACATGAATGGATGGGCCAGAGATCGTTTTGACATGAATGGATGGGCCAGAGGCCGTTCTGACAAAGAATGAATGGATGGGCCAGAGGCTGTTTTGACATGAATGGATGGGCCAGAGGCCGTTTTGACATGAATGGATGGGCCACAGGCTGTTCTGACAAAGAATGAATGGATAGGCCAGAGGCCATTTTGACATGAATGGATAGGCCAGAGGCCGTTCTGACAAAGAATGAATGGATGGGCCAAAGGCCGTTTTGACATGAATGGATGGGTCAAAGACCGTTTTGACATGATGAATGAATGGGCCAAAGGCCAGTTTGTCATTTGAATGGGCCAAAGGCTAGTTTGATATAAATGAAAGTTTGAATGGGCTAAAGGCCAGTTTGATATGGGAAGATAAATGGCCAAAGGCCAGTATGTTTGGAACTGCAGTCACTTGACTTAAATTGTGTATATACATGTTACATAGAAATATGAATTGGGCCCAAGGCCGTTTGGAGCATGTTGTTCTACATATCGTTTGTATAACTTCTTTATTTGATATTATTCAGTGGGCTATCGCTCACGCTCATTCATATGTTTGTAGGTGAGCCAAGAGAAGTCCAAACCCAGCCCCAGTGAAGTCTATGTAGAACAACAAAGGTTTTGAAGAGTCAGCCCTTGCATCTCACGCACGAGACTCGTCTTCGCCTTTTGTCGTTTTGTTTTATATTGTCATGTTGGCGAAGTCTTTGAGTCTGTCTGTATATAGTTTTCATGGGTTGACTTAGATTTGGATGATCCTGTCCGTACAGAACTTTATGTTACTATGCTTTCTGTTGTGAGTTATTAACATATGTATGTATGGAACGTTATGATATGCATATAAGCACGGCTCTATGGGCAAAGTTTTAAATTTGCTTCCGTTTGGCCCCTTTACTCTGATGAGTTTTGTCTTATTTGGTTTGAGGTCGTAGGTAATCTCGTAATTACTGGCCGGTTATGACCTTAACCCATATGAGCAGGTTCGGGTCGTGACACCAGGGTTAGTCAAAGAAGTTCAGAAGTTAATGGATATGGTAACAGCACTTAACAGATTTATCAGCCAGTCCTCAAGTCGAGGTAGGCCATTTTTCCAACACTTTGATAGGGTAAACTATTTAAATGGACTATAGAATGCCAAATCGCTCTGGAAAGATTATAAACCTATCTCAGTTTCGTCCCTCTTTTGTCTGCCCCCTCGCCAGGTGACGTACTTATCTTATCTTTGGACTTATCTGATCATGCAGTAAGCGTCGTCTTGCTTAAAGAGGCACTTGGTGGGCAGAAATCCATCTTTTATGTTAGCATGTCAATGGTTGACGCCAAACCCCAATACTTACCCTTAAAAAAGTTGATTCTTGCTCTTGTAGCGACTACCAAAAAATTGATGCATTACTTTTAAGCCTAAACCATTAAAGTATTAATAGATCACCCCATCTGTTCAGTCCTTCACAAAACAGAATCGTCGAGAAGAGTTTTCAAATAGGCATTGGAACTCGGACAAACCTCCAGTTTTCACCAAGGACGACTATCAAAGGGTAAGTCTTGGTCGATTTTGTTGCTGAGTTTACTACGCCAGTGTCCCATGTCTAGTTCATCAATCACAACCGGAATAAAATATGTCGGGGATATTTGGCAGTTGTATTGTGACGAGTCATCCCACCAGCGCGGTAATGGAGCAGGAGTAGTTATTATGACCCCTGAAGGAGTAGTAGTGGAACAATCGGTCAAACTTGGCTTTGACGCCTCGAACAACGAGGCCGAATACTAAACCTTTCTAGTTGACCTTAGAAATTCATTTCAAATAGGGGCTAAACAGTTGTAAATTTTTTATGATTCGAAACTAGTCATAAACCAATTGAAAGGTGAATATGTAGCTAAAAACGACCGCGTGGCAGCTTACATGAAAATGGCTAATTCCTTGCTCTTGAAATTTGATAGCCATGAATTGAATCAGATTACTAGCGATCAAAATACACATCCCGATGCTCTGGCCTTTTTAGCCTCGACCGCAAACTCAGAAATTAAATGAACCATCAAAATGGGTTTCATCCTAGAGCCGAGTATCAGTATTCCCGAATATCCCATTGTGAACATCATCCAATGGGGCCCGAGTTGAAAGGATTTCATTGCTACATTCCTCGCCTCGAAACAATTGTCGGAAAATAAGAAGGAAGCCCACAAGCTGTAGAATAAGGCTTTGAGATATTATTTGGATCCTCAAGGAAAACTTTGCAAGAAATCTCTCTCTAGGCCTTACGTGGAATGCATCCATCTAGACATGGTTGAGGATTATTTGGATAAAATACATGAAGGTAGCTATGGCGCTATTTCAGGAAGTAGATCATTGGCCCATTGAGCCGTTACTGAAGGGTATTAGTGGCTGACTATGCGAACTGACAGTGAGAATTATGTTAAGAAACGCGAGCAATGCCAAAAGTTTTCTCCACTAACATATCTGCCCGTCGAAAAGTTGAATTCCATGACTAGTCTTTGGCCTTTTGCTCAATGGAGTTTGGATATAGTTGGGCCGCCGCCGAAAGCTCCAAGCAATAAGCGATTCTTAATTGTTGCTACTGATTATTTCACAAAATGAGTTGAAGCAAAACCATTAGCACATATACAGGATGCAGTTATTAAGCATTTTTTTTTTATAAAGAATATCATTACTTGATTTGGCATCTTCATGGCGCTTATTTTGGATAATGCCATCATGTTGCAACCTGCTCTTTTCTGCTCTCTAGTGCTAGTTAACTTGATCTTATGATGTGTAGCACCAAGGGCGGAGGGAGGGAGGGGGGTTTGTGGCCCCTTCAAGGTTCTGAAAATTTTCATTTGTACATATGTATGCTATTTCTAATTTTTATTTTATTTTGCATATTACATGATAGCCCACCAAATTCAATGTAGCACTCCCAAAAAATTTGTGAAGTCTACATTGTATTAGAGTTGGCTTTCAAAATTTAGTAACTCATATAGTGGTCTCAAACATTTACAATAATATTATGATAGGCATATTTTCTTACAATGTTTTGTTACCATCTTATGTATCAATTCTACGTTAGTATTAAGCATGAATGGCTAAGGTGATAAACAAATTGTGGTAAAAAAAAAATATGATCATCCTAACATTAAGATCCCCTCAACTATTAGCAAATATCACCTTACCGCTTATCTATAAATTCATACATTTTGATCCCTTCAACTATAAAAACTATACAAATAATGTTTAATTGAGATTAATCTCTTATAATTTTATTGGTTCAATTGGCCTCTATTAAGTAATATTCAATAATGATTTAATCAAATAAAATTCATGCCGATCCATTAACAGCTCGGCGAGATCTGCTGTATGACTTCCTATGGAGAAATCCTGGCTCTGCCCCTACGTAGCATCATATACGTTGCAGGATACACTTTGTGCTTGTTCTTGGATTTTTCATAGTTTATTCATCCCATTCTTTATCCCTGCTATCTAGAAAACCACTGTGGTCCTTTTGCTGACCTGAAGCTGTTTTTTGTGTTATGTAATTTAAGGAGAGGATTCATTGCAATGGTAACTCAGGAAGCAAACACTTTGAATGCTCATGATTGCTTCCAAAGACACTCACACGTGTATGCACACATGCACACATTCTACCTGGCTGATCTCTTCTTATTTTCTTGTATTGGTTAGATGCAATTAGTCTATATTGTTAACGAACCTGATTGAATAAATACATTCCCTCCTTTCAATCCTTGTAGTATGATGCTGTTGGATGGGCACCAAAGGAGTATAATCCAGACAATAAGCAGCCCTCTGGTGGACAGGAGCCAAGTGGTGGAGAGGTTGCAGGTCTAAGGATGCTTATTCATTACAATCTGGCTTTGTTTGGGATGAAGCATCTGGCTATTATTATGATGCTTCTTCTGGATTCTATTATGATGGAAATACAGGTATTTATTTATTTGGAAGCTACATTTTAGTTGTTGTTTTCCTCATTGTTACTATAAAAGCTGTCTTGATTTTATGTTTATGCATAATATAGGCAAATGTTGCAAGTGTTGTATCATGTGAGCCATAGCCCCCGTGATATCAATGTTGTGTTCTATAAGTGAAAGTTCTGATATGTGTTTCTCATGCAATTGGACTGGTGCACTAGTGTGGCATCCTAAATCTTTAACAATCTTATTCAGTGTGCATCAAATAATTAGTTTCATTAATCATTGGTCTTGTGGTGGCGTTCAATTTTTAAAGGGCCTCTGGTTTGGATTTCTGCTGTCAACTGACCATTACATTGTGACAGCATTTCTATTTTGGAGTTTATGGTTGGCTTGGATTGCTCTGCATTTGTTGATACAATCTCTACAAAAAATATTAAGTTTATTCATATGCTTCTAGTGGTTTCTGAATTAATTTGTGTTTTTTATTTTTCAAGTCAGAAATTTTTTGGAGAAATGCAAAATATAGTCAAAGAATTCAACAATTTCATTTTTTCAAGTTTTTTTATTTTTTAATATATGTAAGCACAGTTAAAAACTTTTTATTAATTCCTTTGTATATACTTTTAAACATTTAACTTTCATTTATGAAATATATGACGTTATTCCATTCAATATATGGTTGTGATTCAAAATATAGTATATAGTGCGCATTACATTCTTCAAATACATATAATGTGTGATCTTATCTGATTATTAATCACATATTTTATTAGATATTAATCACACTTGAAATCTGTAAAAGATGTGATTTAAATATTTTTAATCACACTTAAAATGTGTGATCTAAACGTTATTAGTCTCACTTAAAATGTGTGATCTAAATATTATTAATCACACTTAAAAGATGCGATCTAAATATTTTTAATCACACTTAAAATGTGTGATCTAAATGTTATTAATCACACTTAAAATGTGTAATCTAAATATTTTTAATCACACTTAAAAGCTATGATCTAAATATTTTTAATCACACTTAAAATATGTGATCTAAATATTTTTAATCATACTTAAAAGGTGTGATCTAAATGTTATTAATCACACTTAAAATATGTGATTAAAAATGACCCCTTTTAATCACACTTCCAAAGATCACACTTTAACAAAACTGAAAGGTGTGATTAAATAACATACATTACACAAAAAAAGTGTGATTTTTATCTGTTTTTGTAGTAGTGTCATTTTACTTTTGTGTATATTTTGTGATGAGGCCTCTCAGAAAGCATTGAGGTAGAAGATCAACAGAGAGCTATTAATTTGGATGAATTGTAGCTACTTCATATTCTTTTGCTTGTAACTTAGATAAAATTTGATTAGAATAGGGAGAGATTTCAAAAAAACTAGAAAGAACACAATCAATTTGCTGTGAAATTCCATGTGTTCTTTTTTCCTTATCCTCTAAGCATGTAAGTGAAACATAATAAAAACCAAATAAGTGGCAAAATGAGAAAGGGAAACTATAAACATGGATTGGAAGGCTCACATAATAGGAGATTAATTTATGATTCCTTAAAATGCATCTTTCACATCATAGAATAAAGAACTAAGATTTCAGTTTCTATGATTGTATTTTCTGTTTATTCTTGAGTTTGGTTTGAAGTTTCATGATAATGGTAAGCAACTAGCTGAGTAACTAATACAGGGTATTAAGACAGAACTTTAGATTTGATATAGTTGTGGAAGAAAGAAAGGGATATGAGTTTGGTATCAGTAATTGTTTCATATCTTGTGAAATGTAAATGGATTTTTTCACAATCTATCTTGCCCACGCTTATATGCCCCCTAATTGTGTACGGTGTAAATTACTCGTTTTTCTTTTTTCACCCAGAAAAATCATCTTATAATGAAATCTCAACAAGTCCTCTAATCTATATTTCAAAGAATTGAATGAAACTAGTGAATAATTTGAAACATCTTTTAAGTTGAAATGATATATAGGAAAAGGATAGATATGAACAATGCAATTCTTTATTATCAAGCATTAAATTTGTTTTACTAGTGATACATTTCATTGTTATATTGGTTCATTCTTCCTTACAGGAACAATCAAAAGCTAACATATTTGTCTTACTAATGATACATTTCATTATTATATTGGTCATTCTTTCTTATAGGAGCAATCAAAGGGTAACATCGCGAACAGAGAAAGGATGTATACAAAACACAGGTGTGGTTCTAGGTCAATCCCTGTTAGAGTAGAAAAACTGGTACGTATCCTTGCACTTTAAGAATTAAATGGACCAATATAAGTTATATGAACTTACGGCACATTAATGGGATGCACCATTTGTGAATTAGCCTTAAAATTAATTTTTTGTTCTCATAATCTCGAAAAAAAAGTCTGTTAGAGGGGTAAATTGTATAATTGATCTAATTGTAAATTGATGAGTTACTAATGTTTTAATCTTTTGTATAGTTAATTAATTACTAAAGCTTTTAATTTATTTTTTTGCAGATTGGATTGGGGTGGCATTTTTGACGTGCAACAATGATCTAATTTGCTTGAATGTTCATTTTTGTTTGATAAGGACACATATACTTTGTAGAGTTGCACTACTTATTGTTGGATGTTTTGTGGAATTGCACTAGTCATAATTGTTGGATATTTTGTGGATATTGCACTATTTTGTTGTATTAGGATGAAATTATTTGTAATGAATGAATATTTTCATTTTGTTAATTCGTAAATATGTCGATTTATAGCAGGTTAAGTTAAATTGTGATGGAATTGTTATATTAAACAGGTTTTAACATGAACATGGTTATATTTGTTGAACTAAAATTTAGATTTTGATAAAATAGGTATATAATATGGAAAAAAATATTATGAAATTATTGACAAAATTTTCCATCCCTAAAGAAGGTTCTTTTGTCTCTTATTTCGCTTAGGTGGATGATTAATTGTCATGAATTTTTTATTTCGTCACTAAATGCATTTGTCGTGACAAAAAATATTGTCACATTTTGTCACTATTATCCTCAATGTGTAACGAATTTTTTTTAACATTATTTTATCATTTTTAATGATGAATTTGTTTTTGTCTCTATTGGTAACTTTTTTGACAAAAAAAATTCGTCTTCGTTAATATTAAACGTGACAAAATTATTTTGTCTTCATTTCTTATATTTATGACAAAATAATTCTGTCTCTAATTTCTCCTTTAATGACAAAATATTTTGTCGCTAATTACTTACAAGTATGTTCCCAACAGAGTGTATTTGAGACAAAAAATTCGTCACAAAGTTATCATTTTTAATGATGAATTTGTTTTTGTCTCTATTGGTAGCTTCTTTGACAAAATTTTTTTGTCTTCGTTTATATTAAACGTGACAATTTTTCGTCTCTATTTCTTATATTTATGACAAAATATTTTTATCTCTAATTTCTTCCTTTAATGACAAAAAATTTTTGTCGCTAATTACTTACAAGTATGTTTCCAACAGAGTGTATTTAGAGACAAAAAAATTGGTCACAAATTTATCATTTTAATGATGAATTTGTTTTTATCTCT